GACCTTGGGAAGGCTCTGGTTTTTCCCATGGGCAACACTCAGCAAGTGAGGCAAAACAGCATCAGGTCTGTTTCAGAATACCCGGCCTATCCAAATAAAACAGTGATCAGATTTTTAAAAGCAAACAAACAAATAAAACAACACTCAATTGTTTCTTTGGAACGTTCTTTGGTACTGCTCTCTAACCAAAGCTTTCAGTTTGCGCTGTTCTTAAAATCTGACCAGCTTATGAATGCTCCATCTCCCCATATTCCAAGGCTTCTCCAACGCCCACCTCTATAGCCTTGAGTATTGAGAACATTATACTTTCCTAATTACAAAATCACTGGAATTCCATGAGTAGTCAGCCTAAAGCCCTAATAAACCTTTTTCCTCAATCTGCTCCCACAGCACAGGTTAAGATGGAGCTGCCAGCGAACAGGAGAAATAGGAAACCAGGCTTTGGACAAGGCCAACCATTACAGAGCGCCCTAAGGGTACAAGAAGACAGGGAACTGACTACCTTGGGGAATAAGAGCTGTGTGTGATCCCTTATCACCTCAAACACACTTCTACTCTAGGACTTATCACAGTATGTTTTATTCATGTTTGTCTGTTTCATTCTCCAGAGCTTAAAATTCCCAAATAATTTGCTTCTAACACACGAAGAGCACCTGGAGATACTGATCCTATCAGGACTGTACGGCCAGGCAAGGCTTAAAGTGACTAGAGCCCTTGCGCTAGCCATCTCGGATTGTAAGCAGCTGTGCCTGTCTCACTATTACCATTTTCTGTGGAGACCATGATGGGAACAGGTTTGGGAAGTACTTCACTAGACTAAGAGCCCCCTGCCAGCAGGGACCATGTCTTACTCACGTTTCATGTCCCCAGCATCCAGCACTACAATCTGTGGCTAGTGATTTGACATTTTTTTTTTTTTTTTGAGAAGCACAGTGCTACAGATGGTGGCAAAACATTTGTGATGATGAGGAAGGAATTATTCTTTAGGTGATCCCCAATCCTTTTCCTGTATCTGACAAACTAAAGAAGTGGTTTCTTTCTTCTCAGAGCCCTAGGGTTCCTTGGATGGTATTCAGAGCCTGCCTGGGGGAAGGGAGAAACTATGTGAGAGGCTCTAATTATGCTCCCCTACTCTCCACCACCCCCAGAACAGCCCCACTTTTACCCACTGTATGTTTTAGACTTCCAGTAAGATTTTACGTAAGGTAACATTTGATTGCTTTAAAAAAAAATGTGACAGGCGGGTTGATACAAAACAACACTGCAACAGAGAGCAAATGTTCTCCTGTATCCTCCCTAAATCATGTTAAAGTTTACACATTCATGCTGGACACCCTTGTGTATAACTTCATAAAGGAAAAGTTATGCCTCACCAGTAATGAGAGAGCTAAAGGTATCATGAGATCTGTGACACCTAGTCATCTAACCTTTCTTCAGGAATATGGTGATAATGGCAGATCCCTGAAATCTCAGCCATTTCCTTTCTGGTCCGTATGGTGCAGCAGATCCTTTGCAGAAGTCCATGACAAAGCTCTAACACATTCATAGAATCCCACCTCAGTTCTTTCCCAGACTATAATACAAAGCCTTCTAACACTCGTGGAACTCTTTCCACATGTTCCCTATGTCTTTTCATTGTCAAAAAGCTTTATCAGCACTCTACCTATATTTGTGACAGATGATGGAAAAAGTATAGTAGACAGAATTAGACAGATATCATAACTCTAGACCTTAATATAGTACATTCTGAAACATACTCAAGAGGCAGACGTTTAAAGGAGACAGGACTGAATGAAAAGTGGCCCAGAAAATGGAGGATATTAAAATGTTCGAGACCTAAATTAATGTAACCCAAGAATCTAAATCCTGACCTAAGTCAGTCAGGGTGCACCTTTATGGAAGAGTCAGCCATTACCTCAGAGTCACGCTGACTCTAACATGAACACTATTCTTCAGCCCCCACATCCTCACCCAAGCTGATGGCTCAGGGCCTCTGCCTTGCTCCAGCTTCACCTCCCACTCAGGCAGCAGGAGCTGCCTCTGTGAAGCTGATGCTGAAAAAAGATTTCACTGCTCATAAGCCTACAACCAGCACAGAAAGTCATGGTAACAATCATCCTTCTACACAGGCACCTCAGGCGGTAAGCTGTTCTTTTATAACCCTTTAAGGCAGCCCTGAGTGCTCATACTATTATGACCACTGCGATGATGAGTATTAATAGCAGTTAACATTTACTTGGGGCTTACTATGTGCTTTGTACAATACTAAGTGCGTTGTGTTTATTATCTCATTTAATTCTCATGCCAACTCTTATGAAGTTGGTACTGTCATTATCATACTCTTTACAGATGAGGAAAATGAAGAGGGGATAAGTAATTTCACCAAAGTCATACAACTAGTAATAGCAGGGGCAGGATTTGAACCCACTTTTGTCTGACTGCAAGGTCCACACTCTTAATTACTATACCGTTTTGCCTCTAAATTCACCTGCAAAAAAATGATGAGGAGAGCCAAACACAGCAATATACTTTGAGTCTCAGGCCTCTTGGCATCCATTTCTAAAGGAATATGGGGAAGCAGACTCCCCAATTTCCCTCAGTTATTTACTCAGCTTTAACAAACATGGTTTTAAAGAAGTTCCTTCTTCTAACCAACAAATCCCACCCACTGTCCTCTGAGTCCATTTCCTCTTAAGACTCCAGTGGAAGGGAGTAGCAGAGATGAACACCCACAATATGACCCTTTGTGCACTTAACACTTCACTTCCACTCTTGCCAGCCTGCTATCTGCCTGCCTTTATACTTGCATTCTGTTTAATAATAGCAGCTACGATTCACTGGTACCAATTCTGTGCCAGGCACCACATACATACATTGGCTCCCTCCTCCGTGAGCTCCAGGATTCCAATCTGCAGACGATACTTTTGAGGACTTACAGCTAATGAAGAGACCCCTTTGCCCAAAATGGGTGAGCAGGAGATCTGGGGTTTCAGATACATAATGACTCTGTGTTTTAAAAATAGTTTTCTTCTTGGGTCTTGGTTTCCATTATCCATGACTGTCTTGTCTCAGGAAGTTGGAGAGACCAAGACTTCTTAATTACAAAGGCTAAAGGCCTTTGTATCTTCGCTCAGCTATCTCCAGGCACTCTCCCTAACAGCCAAGCCATCTTTCTCCTTAAACTGCAGTCAAAAAGCTAGTTGAGTTCTATACATTCATATCCTGTATTCCTCACAAGAGCCTACTATGTGCAAAGGCTTGTGAGAGGAGTGAGATGAACTCCAATCCCTGCACTCAAAATATTTAGTCTCTTTAGAAAAACAAGACATTCACGTAAAAATTCTGACTATGCAAAGTAATAATTCTACGCTGGGAGGCAAGATGTATGTGAATCTGTGATACATGAGGCCCTTTCCCAGATGAATCCGACGTCAATGATTCACTCTGTGAAAAGGTGAACCCAATGGATCCACTTCTTTCTTAAAATGAGCTTTTACAGACATGTTATACAAACACATGTCTAGCCCTGACCAATGTGGCTCAGTTGGTTGGGTGTCATACCAAAAAAACGAAAGGTCAGTTTGATTCTGAGTCAGGGCACATGCCTGGGTTGTGGCTGGGTCTCGGTCTGAGGAGTGTGCAAGAGGCCACCGATAATATTTCTTCCCCCTCTTTCTCCCTCCTTCCCCCTCACTTTAAAAATAAACAGAATCTTAAAGAAAACCCCTCAGGTCTAATGTTCAATGACCAACTCACTGCCCCACTCCAGTCATAGCAAGTGGAGACACCCCAACAAGCTCAAGAAAAAATGGCAACAAATGAGGAACAAGGAAGGAAGTATGCAGAGCCTAGATTCTGGCTTGTTGCACTGACCCAAGCAATCAGACTCCTGCAGCAGATCTCCTACCAATAAAACTTTCATGCCATAGACCAGGGGTGACCCAATCCAACAGCAGCAGAGACAGGTTTTAAGTTTCACTTCTTCACCCGGATGACCTCACTATTTCATCTCACTCCTGACCACATACCACACTGCTCCTGGCCTGGCCAGAGTAAGACTGGCAGTAATACAACCCAGAAAGAAGGGAACTCCCCCAAAAGAGGAGCTACCACTTTGCTAATCAAGAGGACTGTTTTAACAGGGAACTCCACCTCCCCCTCCTTTCCTCAAACATTGGTGTAAGCAATGGCTCCATTTTCTGTTCCGGGAATCCTGGTACTTCCTAAAGAAAGCAAGCGGATTGGAAGACACAAACTCAGAGCCTGAGACAAGACGCTCCCTCCTCTTGTGAGACCGCCCCGCCCCCGCTTTGCCTAGGGGAGGAAGGCACCACCTCTCTCCTCGAAGCGAGAGGAGAGCCCCCCTCCCCCTTCTGCCTCCTCTCCTCCTGATCCCCACCTGCCGTCCTCTTCCAAGGTGCTGTTCCCAAGATCCAAAAGCGCAACCTCGTAGTGCCCATGGGGTGCTCCACTAGCTTGTCCTGTCGGCTACTCCCTAAACCCTTATGCACCCTTGTCCCATAAGAGGTGGGGGGGGGGGGTCACCACAACAAGGCTTCTCTGGGCTCCTATTACTAAGGTGGAGGGGAAGAAGGGGCAGAAAGCAGCAGCAGCATTCCCTAGCCCTTTTACAGGAAAAGGATACAAAACATCCATCACCGCCCCCGCATCACCTCTCCTGGACTGCTTTCCTCCTCCCCAATCCCGACCCCTTCAAAGCCCACCTTCTGCAGGCGAGGGAACCTCACTGCAGCCCAGGTCGCCCCCTTGTGCGAGGCGGAGGACAAATCTGTATGCGCCCCCCGCCCCCACCCCAGCTCCGCGTCCTTCAAATGCGGGGGCAGGCATGAGGCTGGCCCAGCGCCCCCTCTCCAAGCTGTCGGGTGGGAAGGACCACAATGCCCCAAGCCGGGCAGTGCCCGGCAGGGGGCTCTAAAGCCTCAGCCCCCACCCCGAGTCTCTCCTCTACCGGGACCCGCCTTCCCTCCTCAGCCCCTCACCTGTTCCTGCTCCCAAGCTTCGCCGCTGCGGCCGCCGCCTCCGCCCCCGCAGGTTCCGCTCGGCTCCCTCCGGCCCCCCCAGCCGATTTCAACGCGGCTGCTCCCCTTGCCCCGGTCCCTGACTCCCTCCTTCCTTCCCTCTACCTAGCACCGGAAGCCGCGACAGTGACAAGAGCTGCGCGGCGCACCCCACCCCCAGACCGGGATACTTCCCACCTCCCTGATCACGCGAGAGCCGCGCGGCAGCGAGCGGCAGTTCTCGCGAGAGCCATCACCATGGCAGCGGCTGCAGCAGAGGCATCCGGGTGCTAAAGCTGAAGCCGGTTGCCTTGGTGGGGGCTGAAGGCTGTGAGCGGTGGAGGCGGGAGTTGGGAGCCAAGGAATAAGGATGAAGCAGTGGGGAGTGAGATGACAATACAAAGCTCCGGGGCCATAACTGGAATTTAAGGACTGGGGCCGCCTGCTGGCCAGAGCGGAGACCGGTTGAGCCAAGAGCCCCGGGGGCTCCTTGGGGAACTCCAGGAGCATAGGCCTTGCTCTAGCTCACCTAACTCCTCCAGACCTCATCTTTCTTTTTTTAACCATGGCTAACAGCATCCCCCTGAGAACTCTGCTACATCAGTGTTGCTGCAGAACTCCTAATCTGAGACCAAGTTAGTCTGGGGTCTGAATCAAGATATCCTTTCCCATTGGGAAGAGAAGGGAGAGTGATGAATTTAAGAAAGTGAAGGAAGCAACTCTGGGCCAATTAGGAGGGAGAAACGTTGAAGGTTAAAACCTAATATCCAGAAGTGTGGTTTGAGGAGGTGTTCCTAGATGATTATGAATTTTAGTATCCCAAGGAAAATGAGATACTGCATCCATGTTTCTCTATTCCTGCCCTCCTTGACTTTTGTCACATCATTTCTGCACCTTGTCTAGACCTGCAAAGCTGCGTTGGAACACTCTAGGCCGTCATAGAAGGGCACTAGCAACACTAAGAAGAGAAGAAGGTGCTCTAAGTGCCCTCTCTCTGCATTTACAGCAGTATAAGGGAACACATGGCTCTTCCCTAAGCCCTGAGCCAAAATTGTTGCTTTTCTGGATTTTTTTTTCTTTGCCTTGTTTCTTGTCTCCTTCCAAGAAGTAGGCTGGTAGATAGCCACACTATGCCTGCCTCTTATCACCATCAACCCCTGGTGTATGCATTCACTAGTCTCTTCCTCTTATTCCAGTCTGTTTTCTTTTGTATTTTAACCTAGAGAATAACATGACCCTAGAATCTGAAGCCAAAGGGACCCTAATATAAGATGGTGAGGCAAGAGATGAATAACAAGAAACATGTTTCTAACAAAGAGAGTTGTATCTGTATGGGGCTGTTGCCATAAAGGGCCTTCACCTTGCTAAGGTGTTTTTTGTTGGGTTTTTTTTTTTCCTCAACTGAGCACACGCTTATTGCCTTTAGAGAGAGAGGAAGGGAGGGAGGGAGAAGGAGAGGAACATCGATGTGAAACAGAAACACTGATCGATCGGTTGTGTCTTGCAAGCTTCCCCCCCCCCCCCCCCCGCCTCCAACCACCACCAGGGACCAACCCTCGCAACCTAGGCCCTGACTAGGAATTGAACCTGGGACATTTTGGGTTACAGGACAATGCTCTAACCCACTGAAACACACCTGCCAGGGCTAAGCTTTGTGTTTTAAATGACTGAAGAATCCTCCAGTGTTACTACAGACTCGTAGAGTGGGCCCTGTGGCACTACCACATGATTACTTTACATTTCTTTTCCTAGAATTTTCTAGGAACACCCGATCAGGTTATGCCCTACACTGATCATGAAAATTATGCTTTACACCCCCCTTCCCTAGTACCCAGCCATACCAACATGACTTGTGGCAGCCTTACAGGAAGTGGAAACAGTTGATGTCACTGCCCAAGACTTGAGATACTCTCAAGGTTGGGTCTCAGGTGTGACAGAAGGATGGAAATGGTGTCAGCCTAATATGGAAAGGAGCAAGCACCATGGTATTTGAGTCAGAACTGATGGATGGGACTGGAGTATCTCCCATCCCTTCCGTCTCCTTCACCCCTTTGGAGTCTTGAGAGGAAAGTGTCTGTTGCAGCATCACTGGGTGCTTCCCATGGAGCAAAGAAAAGCAAACATGGGGGGCAGGGTGCTGCCCAGCTGGCAATTAGCCAACCACTGCCACTCCCCAGCTTCCCAACCACTTGAAAGGCTAAGGGAGAAGAGCTCATCTAGAGCTGAGGGAGGCAAAGAAGCCTGACTTACAGTTCATTGGTCATTCTCCCTCCCTCTGGCTTCCACTGGAGCTAAGTAAAAGCTGACATTGTAGCCACCCGCTCTGTGGGTTGCACCCTCCCACCCCTGCCACTGACCCCAGGCCTGGGCCTGAGCCCAGCGTGCGTGTGCCTAGAGGAGCAGCGGTGGGGAGGCGGGGGGGTGTTGGCCTTGCTGACAAAATCCATTTGGAATTTCTCAAGGTTGTGGTTTGGGGCTTAAGTTTGCCACAGAGCGTGTCTGACGAAAGAAGAGCGCTCTTTCGTCTAGAGAGAAGGAGCCAGAGAGAGTACAGAGGAAGGAAACCAGAAAAAGCTGAAATATTCTTACTGTGACTCTATTGGAGATTTTCCTCACTCTTCCTGAGTGTGCAAAATTCCCATTCTGGATATTCCTTATCATTATTCTCTCTCATATCCTATGTCCATTCGAGTTGCATCCTTCTCTCTCCCCCACTTTCTTCATATACTCACTAGACTCAGTCAGTGCCTGAAGTAAGGATGAGATACTTTCCTGCCTCCATCAAACTTCTAAACCCAGAATTCCCAATGCTCAAGTGGAAATTTGGGGCATACAATTTTGCCATAAAGTACTACCCTAACCCAACATTCCTCAAAATGTTCTTACTACCCTGGTGCTACCATCATTTCCCCCGACTTTGAGGGTAATTTGGGTAGCTGATACACCTATTGCCTAGAACATGATTTCCAGCCTCTTCATCTCAATGCGACACATGAACGAATTACTAAAATTCTTCAGCACACCAAAAAATATATTTTTTGCCAATTTGACAAAAAAAATATAGTATAATTTTGATCCATTCATACCGGATGGTTATTGTCTTGTTGGCCCACTGCCATTTTTTTACTTGACAACCTAAGGGAAAAGAGGTCAGTGTCTCTGACTAAATAGTCAAGTATTGCCTGGTTTAAAAATTCTCGTGGCACGCCAGTGCACCTCTTGCTGCACACCGGTTGAAAACCACTGGCCTAGAGGAGTAGAAAGAACTAATCTTCCGTATTCTACATTCTAGTTGTACATTCCTTGGCCAAGGAGATGACCTTTTAGAGTCAGCATCTTGCAACCCCATAAACCATCACTTGTAAAGTTCTAAATGTGTGGCGCATGTCCTTTTTTCCAAAGGAAAGATAATGATTTGTTTGCAAAGATATTGGACTAGGAATAGAAAGATTGTAATAGAAGGCATTCTGTTTTCTTTAGCTATGGTTATCTCCTAAAAGATAAAGGACCTATTTCATTAAGATTAAATGCAGAAGAGTTCTGAATAAGGAAGGACAAAATATATATGCAAATAATTCAGAGGAAGAGCATGCTGGTTTTGCTGGTTTCCAGAGCAAAAAACTTCCCTTTCAAGCACAGGAATCCCTTTTATATGTTTTTCATTAGTCTTGTATCTGCCTCCCAAGTTCTCTGATTTGGAGCCAGAGGGAAATGCACCTGTTCTTTTGGGTCCGGGTTCAATGCTGAGACACCTTCAGGATTTGAAAACCTCAGAACGGACATGACCTCATGGTGGGGAGCAAGGGTCAACAAACTATAGCCAGAAGACCAAATCTGGTCCCGCAGTCATTTCTGTGAATTAAATTTTTTTGGACATCCTTTTGTTTATGTATGGTCTGTGGATGCTTTTGATCTACACCAGCAGAACTGAGTAGTTATTGCAGGGTTGAGCAGTTGTTACAAAACCCACAAGTCTAATATGTTTACTATCAAGATCTATCTTTACCGTGGGGGAAAAGCCAACCTTTGTTCTAGGGCAGTGACCAAGGCAAAATCTAGAGTTGAGGCACGTAAAGAGTAAATAGAGACTATGTTTAGATCTCTAGCCCCTCACACCAAGAAATCCCCACTGGTTTTTCACACTAAGAGTTGCCAGCTAAGTCAGAACATTTCAAATCCTTTGCGGAACCAGGCAGGATACATATAAATAAAGTCATTGAGTGTAGGAGGGTAGGAGAATTCACTTGGAAAAGAAGCTATGGACTGGGATCCCAAGTGGGCAAAAATATCACCATCTGAATCCACCGGTCCAGTAATTTAATTTATTTTAGTTACAAACAGGAACCAAGAACAAGTCTCAGTACAATAAATTATCCATTCACACCCCTCCTGCTAAAGAAAGAAAGAGAGGCTCAGAGCTATAGGTAAAACTCTCCCTTTGGAGGGTCTCTTTTAACATCAGAATGGGAGGCCGACAGCTTCCTTAAGGGCCTGCACAGATGACTCTGAGGACTCAGCTGGGAGCACCCCCTAGCACTCTGTCCTGCCCCTAAGAAAAACTTCTCTACTACTCTCTTCCATTACCCCACAAGAGAGGGCTCAGGCTGCAGTAGAGGAGTTCAGGTACAGCAAATGGAGTGAGTGGTTTCTTTCTGGATTTGGGTCTCATGGCTCCACACAATGCCTGGGGCTTACCCTCAAAGGAGAAGAGTGGTCAAACTATAGGGACTCCCCAGCCAAAAGGGGTATGACAAAGGAGAGTTAAAGGGACCCCAGGGTTGGGGATAGGGAAGCAATACAGTGCATTTCCTCTTAGTCCATCCAGGTGAGAAGGAAAAGAAGAGGGGAGACATCTTCCCCTCAAGGCCCTTCAACTTGGGGGAGAGGGCCATACATCATAGACTCCACCTGACCCCCACCCCCCCAAAGCTGTTTCCAGGTAGATACTTTGAGTTTCCAGGGGCCAAGATTGACCTCGGACAGAAATTAGAGCAAAAGGCTGAAAAGGTACCCCTCCCCTTCTCCAGCCTGCCGTGAGGCTGACCCTCACTTACACACGTTGACCCACTCTGTAACCTTGCATTCATCACACAGCACGTAGCAGCACCAGTGGAAGCGACAATGGCAGCGCTCAACTCTTGTCTGCCGGAGCACGTTGTGCCCACGGCCACAGCACAGGCTGCCACAGCCATCCAGCAGGCGACTGGTCTTGTTGCAGGCCCGGCCTCGTGTGCCGGGGGAGCCCACGGTGGGGTCTCGCTCACAGAAATCAGGAGACTTCTCAAAGTAAACCAGCTCTCCTGAGAGGCGACGGGGACGCAGGCGGGGCTGGAAGGCTCCGGAGTTGCGGTTGTGGGTATCAATGAAGATGGCCCTGCCCAGTCGCTCCCTCAGTGCTGCCCCCACTGCCCGGAACTCTGGGGCCGCCCTCCAGCAGGTCTTGAACTGGCAGCTGCCTGACGTGCCATGGCACTTGCATTTCCGCTTTAGGTTTTCAGTTACCACCTGGAGCATTAGAGGGGGAAGAGGTGAAGGAAAGGGCAGCACATGGATGGAGCACAGAGGCACAGAAGAGGGGAGGGAACAGGGAGGCACAAGGAGGGACAAACAGAGGCAAGAAGGACTAAATGACCGTGGAATATCAGAAGAAAAGCAGGCGGGCTGATAGCCCAACTCCCTCATTTTATAGTTGGAGAACTGAATCCAGAACAGAAGGATTTGCCGATCGTCAGGCACTAGCTGGTCACAGAGACTCAGGTGATAACTAGCTGGTAACAGGACTCAATTCCAGTTGTCCCGACTCCCAGTCCAGTGCTCTTTCCAGAGTGAGCACTGCTAAAATGGGGAGTCTGCGCCCAGAGCACTCCTAACTTCCATAGGGAAGACAGCTGTCCTAATAGCTACCATGCAATGAGGACCTGTCAAGGACAAGGGGCTCCGCTGGGGGCCCTACTTGCTAGCCCACTCTTAATGGCGTTGGAAGTCAGGTATCCTCAGACTCTCCTTACAGAGGCAAAGCGAGGGTAAATTCATTGCTCAAGGCCACCCAGATGCTGACAATCACCCATCATATCTCATCCTCTTACTGTGCTGTGCCTCTCAAACTCTAGCCAGGCCTAGAAAGCTAGTGAGACCCGGGCCAAGTTACACATACATACCTGTCGCCCCACCCTGTTGTTGTGGATTCGCATTCGTGCCTGGATGTCCCGGGGAGCTTCCCTGGAATCCAAGAAATCCCGAGAGAACTTCTCTCCAAAGTCCATGTCATGGTTACAGCCACCCCATTCCCATGTGTCCTGGGGGCTAGGACTGGGGCTTGAGCTGGGGCCTGGGCTGGGCAAGGAGTGGGGGAAACTCTTGCCTCGCGACAGTGCCTGCAGCTGCAGCAGTTTGGCCCTCAGCCGGTCCTGCTCGCCACTGCCCTTCCAGCCGCAGCCACAGCTCACCAGCTTGCCCAGGCTGCAGGCGGTGGCTACCGCGTGCATGACCCCAGCAGCCAGCATGGAGAAGGAAAAAGCACTCTCACGGAAACCTGGGGATTAAAGGGTGTGATAGTAGGGGTAAGGGTGACAGGCAGCTGCGAGTAGGGAGGCAGGGGGAAATAAACAGCCACCCTCCAATTCCAGAAATTCCTAACTGAATCCTGACCCTGCCATTACTAACTGAGTAATTTGGGGGAACATAGGATAAGAAGAAAGGAAACCGAAAGGGCAGAGCCTCAGTTTCCTCATCTATAAAGCGAGAGGATGAGTTGAGATGATCCCCGAGGCCCGTCCCTGCTCTGTAAGTCTGGGATGCTCAGGTGAGGATGAAAGCGCCAGCCTAGAGGGAAAGACCCCTGGGGGTGGGAGAGGACTAAAAGGGAGTCCCTGTGGTCTTTGAAGATGTGTTCACTGAGCTCTACATCTGAAAGCCTTAGAAATTCCCCAGCCCTTCAGGGAGCTGGGGTGGGTTGAAGCAGAGCCATTGGGGTTTGTTTTTTTTTTCCCCTTTTTCTTCAGGGTTATTTTAATCAGCCTTTTAACAACATATCCTCTACCACCTCAAAACCCCAAAGCGCTGGAGCTGTGGAGCTGTCCTTCACCTTTCCGGTTTCTCGTTTTATATTTGTCCTTAAGATTGCCCTTTATGTTTATCTTAACCTGCTGTTACTCTATAAAATGTGGGGAAGGGTAGAGGGGTGGGGGTGATTTTCCCTAAGGCCCTCTTAAAATGTTGGCTCCTTTGTTTTGTTTTTGGGGTTACAGAGGCTCAGGATGACAAGCCTTTCCCAGCCTCAGATGGATGTGCTTCTCATTTGGGCATCAAAGCCTTCCCCTACAGCAGTTCTGTGGAGAAAAAGGGGATCCCTCACTTCCTTTTAGGCAGGGGCTCCCTGGAGCCCCGAGAGGATGAGAAACAGCAGCTCCTTAGGGGCCAGGCCTTTCCCACCCTAGGATGCAGGTCTCCTGGCCCAACCTCCTGATACCCCCCCAACCCCAACCCTCCAGGGGTGAAGCTGTTTGCACACGTCTTGGGAATTCCCCCACAGATGGCAGCTGCTTATTAACCCTGTAGTCCCCAAAGTACTGCCCCCACCCTTGAGCTGAGCCCAGGATGGATCATTACACCTCCAAGGAGTAAGCTCAAGAATGGCCTGGCAAGAGGCAGCAATGCTTCCCAGACCATGCCTTCCAGACCAGGCCAGCAGTGACCTGTTCTCCACCCTTCCAGCCATTCCTCACCTGCTCAGGTGGGAGCCACCTGGGGCCCCCACAGCACAGAGGAGGGGGCTGCTCCCCTGCTTCAAAGCCACCAGGGTCTTTGTTCCCAGCCTCAGCTCCTGGGAACCCCAGCAATTAGGAGAATAGGTTTAACCCTTAAACGGTTAGGGGCGGCACCCCACCTCCACTGAGGTTCTGGGGACACCAGCCTGGGCTTGTCCCTCTGAAAGAGAGGGGGGTGAAAATTGGGGGAGTGAATGGGGGGTGTTTGAAGCTTCCAGGGCTGGGGGCATCTCTTGCTCACAGGTGCAACCCAGATCCAGCTGGGTGGAAGCAGGAAAAAGGGGGGCCTTAGGGTAGGGGAGCAGAGACCCAGCTGCCTTGCCGGCAGCGAGCAGGTGGAAGTCAGAGAGCAGAGGCCCAGACGGGTGACCACCCCAGCTCCTAGAGGCTGGAAGGGGGGGGGGGAATTCCCGGAGAGGCCTCTCCCGAGTCGTGAACCCGTCCCTTCCCGCCTCCGCTCGCCTTGGCCTGCCCCCCATCCCCACCCCCGCGGCGGCGCAAATCCATCCGGCCAGGCTCACCACGCTTGAGGATGGCGCTGTGGTGCGGCAGGCGGCCGCCGCCCTCGAGCGCGGAGCAGTTCCAGCGCTGGTCTCGCAACTGGTGCTGACACTCGTGGACCGCGATGTGCAGGCCCTGAAGCGCGGATGCCGTCACGTCGGGGCTGCGCAGGCACAGGCCCAGCTGTCGCTTGCTCAGGCCCGACAGCGTCAAGCACACGGTGTTGGCAGTCAGCGGCGGCTCGCCGGGCAGCTTCAGGCCCAGAATCTCATTGCTTAGGGCCCTGGAACGGAGAAGGCGTTTCTGGGTCTGTGGTCCAGGCCTCGCGCCCCCTCCGACTCCTCCCGCCCTGGGGCGGTGCTTCCAGCCCGGGCTGGGTTGCGAGGGAGGCTGGACGACAGGGGGAACTGCTCACCGACTGCACAACGCCAGCAACAGAAGACCCGCGAGGCCCCAGGGCGGAGGCCGCGGCCGGGGCTCCTCAGGCATGTCGAAGCCCGGGCCCGAAGGCCCCGGTGGACAGATCGATCAGGGCCTGCGGGACAGGGAGACTTAAGGAGGGTTCCGGAATAGGGTGGCTCGCCTGGCCAACCAAGGATGCCCAACTTTGGGCTCCTAACTCACCAGTGTCACCCCACTGACCCGTCTCATCGCTCCCCAAACGACAGTTAGAATCACCCCTTGACTCCTAGAGTCCCTGGGCCCTGGAAGAAGAGTCGGGGCCTCGCAGCTGGAACTTAATGGATCGCCTCTGGAGCCGACCCAGCCGGACATAATGCCAGGCACACGGACACACTCACGTTCAAAGTCAGACATACGTACTCACAAACACCGCTCCACCACCTCACCCACCGCTCCCTCTTCAAGGGCCCCACGACTTCACGACTCGCTTCCTCCGCCCAACACAAGCTTCACGCCCTCACAACGCTAAGGGGTGGGATTGGGAGGGGGTTCCCCACTACCTACAGCGGGTGAGGTGGGGGTGGGGTGGGGAGAGTGTCTCCTCCAGGTGCCGTCGAGGGCAGGCAGCCTCCGGGAGAAGGGTGAAAGAATGGGTTCCCCACCGGCTCTACCCGCCCTTCCTCCGCAGTCGGGAAAGAGGGGAGCCTCCAGGTGCGGCAAAGACAGGGAGGGGACCTGGTTGCCGCCTGCAAGGGAACGCGCAGCGCAGTCTGACTCTTCCTCGTCCGCCACCGTTCCCAACCACACGTTCCCCACCTCCGCGCGTCGCCCACCTGACCCTCACAGGTCCTAACCTCAGTCCCCACCCCTTTGCTCTCCCGTTCAAATCTGGGGGCATTCCTTTATTTGCTGGGTCTTTATCGCTGGCAATATCTCTGGCTCTCTCTCTCTCTCTCTGCATCTCTGTGCCCCCGTGGGCGGATGCGTGTCTGTCTGACTACCCATGTGCGTGTCTCGTCCCCGTGTGCGCGTCCCTGCCCTCCCTGCTCTCCCTGCTTTCCCGGTTCCGATTACCTCCAGCTGCTCTGGCGCGGGGTCGGCCACAGGCGTGGGGTCCGGGGGGCCTTGGCTCAGGCTGCTCAAGCCGTGGGGAGAATGAGTCGGGCTCTGCCCCCTCGGCAGAGCCGCATTCTTCCAGGGCAGGGCCACTCCTCTTCGCCGCTTTCCCAGCGCCGCCGCGGCCGCCGGGAAGAAGGGAGGGAGGAAGGGAGGGAGCGACCGAGAAAGCTAGCGAGAGGGCCAGCAAAGAACTGGGGGCTCTGGCTCTACTCGCGCGGAGCGTACGGGCGGCTCTGCCGCGGCTGACAGAGCTGCAGCCCCTCCCCGAGCCCGGGGCATCCCCACCCCGCTCCTCGTTGCACACCCCCCCCCCTTGACCCGGGGAGCGCAGTCGCTCCCCCTCCTCCCAGCGTGTACACACACACACACACACCCTCTCCCCCGACGCCCGGGTTCAGGCTTGGCCCCACTGAAGGGGAAGGTGGCCAGAGTTCCTCTCACCTGCTCTGGAGTCGCCAAGGCTGCAAGGAGGGTGCAGTGAGCCCCCCTAGGGAGTCAGGACCCTGGTCCCAGGTGGTCATGTCTCTTTGCCTCAGTTTCCCCACGGAGCGCTGGATGGCCCTGGAGGATGCCTTTGACAAGACGAAGAGAGAGCTGAGAACCGACTTTCCTGTTTGGGCAGTTTCGTGTAGAGCCCTCAGCAAGAACGCACCGCAGGGCACTGGGAGCCAGCGGGAGTTCCCTTCTGGGTGGCTTGGCTTCTGCCCACCTCTGAGCCCTGCGCCTGCCCCTTGGGAGGGGTCAGCTTTGGCCGCAGAGTTTGGCCCTAGCAGAGGCTCCAGTAATCCTAAAGATCTTCAGCTGCCCCATCTTTCCCTTGGCTTGCAAGCAACCTTGCCGCGGAGATTTCCTTCCCCTTCCCGGTCTGCACTTTGGGTGGCCCATATTCCTGCTCTGCTCACAGACTTGCTTCCCGTGAAATGAAGAGGACTTCAGGATCCCAAACTGAGCTCAGCCTTAGGACAACCAGGGACAGAACCTGCTCTTGGGGGAGCACAGCTGAGGCAAACCACCTTAGGGAGCTCCAGTGGCAATGAAGGGGTTAGGTGCCACTGCACTGTTGCCTGACTCACCCTCCCAGCTCTAACCACCGCGGGCTATTTTTGCCAGAGAGGGGCCCCAGGCTTCCCAGCCGCCCCCCTGCCCCTGCCAGACCGCAGCCCAAGGCACGGCTGGCCCTGAGAGACCAAGGCTGGCAAGTTGACTCAGAGACAGGCCCCCCAGGGAAGCAGAGCCACGGGGCTGAAACCCACAGCCACAGTCATCTCTTCCTTGGTGGTGTCCGTGCAGCTCTGCTGGGCAGCCAACGTCCGCCTGGGCCGCTGAAGTCCTGCGCCGTGCTGCAGCGGACACTGCTGTCTAGGGGGCAGAGCCGTCTGCAGAGATCAATGACTTTCATCTGTTGGGATATTTATGGACCATCTTTATGTGCCAGGCCTTGAGCAGGCTGGGGAGGTGTAAGTGCCATGGTTCCTGACAATGGACAGCGGACCACAGAGCGCTGCCTTTTTTTTTTTTTTTTTTTTCCTGCTTCCCTACCTAGGGGAGGAGGGGGGAGAAAGTGCCCTAGAGATCTTGCTTCTTCTTCCCAGTTAGAGGCCAAGGACCAAACTATGTGTGGCTTTTGAGGCCACCAGAATCTGCAAGACCTATTCCATTATCTCTCATCCTTACACCTGAATTTGGTGATCCTCACCAGTATCCTTGTCCTCCTTCCTGAATGTCAGCCTGCGACTCCACCCAGGCCGCTAGAGGAAGGGGATGAGGTTTCCCACTCCCCTCTTCTCCCATAGGGACCACTTGGACATTTGTGTGTCTCCATGTGTCTCTGAGTCGCTCTCGAATTTTGGATTGTTTCTTCTGATTCTATCCTTGTCAGGCTGCAGTGTAGTCAGGTGCCAAGGAAGAGCCAGGTCAGAACCATAGATTCCCACTTCTCACTTACCCCGGCAGTCCCTAAGTTAGCTTGTCCCAAATCCAAAGACCCACACTGCTGGTCCCTCTTCCTGCAGAAGCCCAGCTCTGGGGCAGGAGGCCACAGGCAGGCAGACTGGGTGGCCTGAGCTGGCCCCCAGTGCCCTTGCCCCAGTGGCTGGCCTGAGCACTGACCCGCAGGCAGACGGCTGGAGGATGGTGGGGCAGGCGGGGCCTGGAGAGGGCTGCGGGTACACACCCATTGCCTAATACCCCAAGCACGCGGCCAGCTCCAGCAAAGGGGAGGGGCGGGAACCAGAGAGACCTTGACAAGGGTTGGGGCCTTGACTGAAGGGGAAAGTGGGGGGCTGTCATTACTTCAGGGAAGGCGTGTGAACTAGCTGGTCCCCCTTCCCCGTGATGAGAAGAGTGGAGGGCTGCCTTCCCATCACAGAAATGGAGGGTGTAACAGGAACATTCTGGGAAGAGCACTGTGGGGCCATAGAGGGCGGGGGTCAAAAAAGAGTGGGGCCCCTGGAGATTGGGGGATCGAGCAACTGAGGCGGTGGCTCTAAAGCCGAGAGCAGCCTCGGAAAACTCCTTCTCCTCCTCCCGCTGTGTTTGCCTTGGCCCTGGGTCCCGAGTGAGTCATCTATTGCTGAGCCGCTGATAGGGGCGGCCAGGCCCGGGGAACCCAAATTATAGGCCCGGGAGGGATGGATGCGCCCGCAGTGGTGAGCTCAGCTGCGCTGCCCACCCTCCGCCGCTCACGCCTTCTGCTGCAGCACCGTAGGCCACCACCTGGAGGCACCAAAAGGTCCAAAGCCCAACTGTGCGAGACCCTCAGGAAGCCCCTCGCATTCAGTGGTTAGTCCCAACCAGTCTGTGGGATTACCCTAGAGAGAACTTTGTCCCCTTCTCTACCAAAGGCTGATGCCTTTTCAGACCAAGGAAGCAGTGCTGCCTGCTGGTGCTTCAAAGGAAGGTAGGCTCCTCTGCCCACAGACTCAGCCTCGGTTCCCTGTTTCCTCCCCAGACTCTAAGATCAAAGTAAAGCCCCTCTCCCCACCCCACCGACATCTCTCTTCCCATTCCCATTCCAGAGGGATGGTTTGCTATAGATTTATACTTCAAGCCTTTAACGTTCTCTATGATCAAAAGTGATATGGAGAAAAATAAAGCAGGCTAAAGGAGATAGGTAGTGGGATCCCATTTTATAGAGGGGGAGGGAAAAGGAAAGGAGACAACAAACCTATAGGGATATCTGAGGAAGTGCATTCGGGAGGCAGAAAAGCAGGTGCAAAGATCCTGAGACAGGAGCTTGTTTGGCATGTTCAAGGAATTAGCAATTCTTTGGAGGGAGGGAGGAACCCACGGGGGAGAGAGCGGTAGGCAATGACGTTAGAGGACAAGGAAGGGGCAGGGTTCGATCCTGATGGGCCTTGTAGGCCTTCGCAAAGATTCTGCCCTTTCCTTTGAGTGAGATGGGGAATCCCTGGAAAATTCTAAGCAGGGGAATGATATAATCTGACTTTTGTTTTGGGAAGAATGGCTCTGGCTGTTGTGTGGAGAATAGATTGTGTGTGGTGGGGAGCAAGGGTAGAAGCAGGAGAGCTGTTAGGAGGCTTCTGCAATGATGCAGTAGAGGTGATGGTGGCTCTCACCAGTGTTGTAGCCACAGGGTGGGAAGGATGGATCAGATTCTGCGTGTATTTTGAAGACAGAAGGACAGGAGTTATTGATTGACTTGAGGTGCAGTATAAGAAAACAGATGACTCAAGGAAGACTTTAAAATTCTTTTCCTGAGCAACTAAAGGATGGAGTTGCCATTTACTGAGGTGGGGATGACTAATGACAGAGCAGGTTGGGGTGAGGGAAGAATCAGGAATTCAAGTTTTGGACATGTGCATTTTGAGATGCTTATTCAAGTGTTAGATGTGCAAGTGCAGAGTTCGGTGGCCAGAGATGTAAATTAGGGAGCATGAGACTGGATAGTTCACCAAAGGAGTGAGTATAGACCTAGAAGGAGCTGCAGATTGGAGAGGGGTGCAGTCCCAACTTAACTTCGAAACTGGGTGGACAAGGTGGAACCAGAGAGGAGACTGAGAAGGCGAGCAGCCTGGGAGGTAGGACTGGTGTTCCAGAAAACAAGTGAGAACATTTCAAGAAGGAGGCAGGGTTCAACTCTGTGTGATCTTCCTGGAAGGTTGATCAGGAGGAGCCCTGAGAGTTGACTGTAAAGCAATGCGGAGGTCGGGGATGATTTTGACAGGAGGAGTCGTGGGTTCAAAGGTGTGGCTAGGGTGAAAAGAGAGAATAAAGAAAAGAAATTGGTTCTGGGGATTAAAGCAACCCCCTTGAGTTTTGCAGTAAAAGAAAGCAGACAAATGGGACAATCTTGTGTGGTAGTATGGAGTCGCATGAAGTTTGGGGATTTTTAGGGGAAAAATATTACAGAATATTTATATGCTGAAGGGTATAATCCCAGTACAGAGAGAAGCTGATAATGCAGAAACGAAACAGAGAACAATGGACAGAGTGATGATTTGGTCTAAGTAGAAATTTGGGCCAGGTTATACACAATGTGACTTAGTCATATTTTGCTCTTCCTGCCCCTCCCTACTACTTCTTTCCTTTCTTCTCACCTCTGCTTCTCACCAGTGGTCACAGAGAGGGCTTCCCTTTCTTTCGGCCCGCCTCTCGCCTTCATGGGATTTTATCAATCCTCCAGGCCAAAAGACTTGATGAAGCCCCAGTGAGGAGAAACTTCTAAGGGATAAAGGACAAGCTGCCCATGGCACATGTCTATTCAGTGGTCCCCGTCCTTTTTGGGAAGGGACAGGAGGCGGAGCTCAGGCAGTAATTTGAGGGAAAGCCCACTGGCTCACCTCCTGCTGTGCAGCCAGTTTCCTAACAGGCCTAAGCACTGGTCCCAGTTGGGGTGCTGGGGGACCCCGGTCTATTTATTTGAGCTATCTGTTTTGGGTGCCTCTGCAGAGACTACTGGCTTTCGGACCTGTGGGAGGTGACCAGCCAGGATACATTGTCTCTCAGGGTTGAATCCTTAGAGGAACCAGGTGCACTGGCCTGGGCAAAGGGCCTGGGAAGGGCATTCCCCTCAAAAATAACCTCCGTCAGGCTTCATTTGGGTTAATACACATCTCATTTAAAATGCAAGCCCTCCAGGAAGACTAATTAAACTTATCAGACATTTATTCCTTAGAGTGATTTCCCTGCTTTGGAGGAAAGGCCTGGTCGTTTCTGATACTTTGAACTCCTTAGGATCGGCCTGGATACGTTACTCAGTGAGAAGGCACCCTAAAGGGCAAGGGGCACGAAAAAGAGAGGACCCAAAAGGGGGGCAGGAAACTCCTAATGATGATTTTTATTAACCCGTCTATTTTGACAAGGGCTCCCAGTCTGCTATTGCTGCGCAGTCACAAGCAGCTGCTCGGGTGGAAAGGGCATGGGCTTTGAGTTTTAGCCAGTTTCAGCCTGGCTCTATCATTTATTCATTTATCAGCTGTGTGGACCTTGGACAACTACCCAAACTAATTTTTCCTCTGTAAAATGGGAAAAGAGCTGTAAAGGAGGAGATCCTCCCTCCTTGCAGGGGCCACCTGTGTGTGCTGGTGGGGAATGATAGCCGGCTGGCAGCGCCCCCCGCCCCTCATATCCTATAGAGGCAACAGCAGCCATTTCAATAGGAGGCCAGGGTTGTCTTGAAGCTGCATGAGAGTCCCTGGGAGGGAAGAGAAAAGAGTACAGCAGGAGAGGTGGTTGCAGGTGCGCTGGGCCTCGCAGCTGGTGAGAGTGGAGAGATCTAGAATTTGGGGGTAAGAAAGAAAGTTGGCAGAAAAATCCAAAAAGAAGCAAACACATGGAGAGACATGTTCCCTATTCTGGGTTCAGTTTAGCCAAAGGCCCTTCTTCCCCACCCCCCGCCCTGTCCTCCCCTACCACACACACGCCTGACATCTATTCCATTGCCCTTCCTTTCTGAGCTCAGTCCTGAGAGTCAGATGCCCCAGGCTTTGTTCATCTTGACACCACCTTGGTTGCTGGCTCAGCCCTCTCCCTCAGTGACATGCACAGGTTGACACATACCACAGGGTGACACACCATCGGATGACACAAGGTACACAGGGCAAGGGTGACACATGTAGGCATATATAATCTCTCCCCACACACATTGATCCACCCTCCACCCACCTCCACACAGTCCCCGACATCCTCTGTCCCTCAGTCTACTGGGTCTCTCCTGACAGTAACTGTCACCTCCTTCTCAACACATATAAAATGGTGCACTGTCTCAGGTGGCGGCTGTGACAAGAGGACTTGATGATCCATTCCGACCTGAGCCACATTCCAAGATTCTTTAGAAAGGCTTCTAACATCCCACCTCAAAATATGGAGTTCCTACACAGAAGAATACACACGAGTGTGTACACTCAGAACACATTTGCGCACATTCTTACGTGGACTCACAATTGCGTTTGTCCCACATACACACTCCGCACAGACACAGCCACCAGTGTGCACCTTCCGGCCCACAAGCGCAAACTGCCGCTTCCTCAGATTTCTCTTCATGGCCAGGCTCTGTTTAGTTAGCTCACCCCCGAACCCACCCCCGGGATTTCCCTGACCACAGCCCCACCTCCACCCTCTGTCTCCCCCTTTTCCTTCCCTATCCAGCCATCGGGGTTCCTGAGAGGAAAGGCATCTCCCCAGAGTCGCTGCCCAGAACCACAGCTTTCCTTCCTCCACTCTGGAAGGAGGAGAAACGGGAAGCCGGCGGGGCCTGGGGTGACGTCTAGGGGATAGCCCCACGGCCGGCGGCAAAGCGGCTGGGCTCCCGTGTGTTCTTACGGAAAATCCAGAGAGCACATTATCGCTGCGCCCTCTGGCGGACGCCGGCCCCCGACGGGCTCCCGACGCCAACAGGAGTGAGGCTGGCGGGCGCGCGTGGGAGGGCGCCCTAAGGGGAGGGGTCGGCGGCCAGTGCAGGCCCGGAGGCGGGAGCCACCAGGCAGGGGGCGGGGGTGAGCCCCGACGGCCAGCCCGTCAGCGTTCGGCTCAGACGGGCGGGAGCCACGGCCCCGCTCGCTGCCCATTGTCTGCGCCCCTGACCGGTGCGCCCTAGTGCCACAGTGCGGCCCGGCGGGGCAGCCTATCATCACTTCAGCCAGCGCCGCAACTATAAGAGGCGGTGCCGCCCGCCGTGGCTGCCTCAGCCCACCAGCTGGGACCGCGAGCCATGCTGCCCATCGCCCGCCCCCAGGGCTGTTAGAGCCAGACTGCGAACTCTCACCACTGCCGCCACCGCCGCATCCCGTCCCACCGTCGCGGGCAGCAGCCAAAACCGCCCAACACAAGCGGGCAAGGCCGGGCAGGCCATGGGGCACTGGGCGCTGCCGCCTGGTTGGGTTTCTGCTACGGTGTTGCTGGCGCTGGCCGCTCTGCCTGCAGCTCTGGCCGCCAACAGCAGTGGCCGATGGTGGTAAGTGAGCTGGTGCGGGGTCGCCACTTGTCCCGGGGCGCAGAGCCAGGGGCCAGCCCTATCCAGCTCCCACGCTCCGGGATCCATCCGCAGACAGGCTCCCTCCAGCGCTCGGACTTTCCTCCGAGACACCGAGGGGCGCTCTGGATCGGAGTTGCTCCTGAGAATGCAGCTTTGCTGAAGTGGGGTGAACGGTCCGGCCGCCGCAGCCCACGATACTCCAGGCAGGGAGCCCACTCCCATCTAGCACCGCCCTTCTTCCTTGAGCCCCAAATTCAGCCTCACGGTGGTAGCCACACCACAGGTATCCTTGCTTCGGGAAGTGAAGGGCCAGGCGTGCGATTAGAAAGGAGGTGAGAAGAGGGTGGGACTCCTAAGCATTTCACGCCTTAGGTGGGCACGGACTGCAGGCCAGGATTTCTTCCCCAGACTGTCCAGAAGCGCACTCTGAGAGCAAAGGTGGACATCTTTCCTCCGGGTCTCCCGTGCTTCTCCTGTCCAGTGCCCCACCCCAGAGCCCAGAGCACCCCTCGGACTCCAGGTCACACAAAAGTCCGGATGACCAGTCCTTTCAATCTAGTGAACCAGGGAGAGCGGAGTCATTACCTGATTATTGATCTCCCGCCGCTCTTTCCAGGCAAATAGCCCCCAGAAAGAACAGGGTGAGCACGACCTTTTTGGTTAGGGTGAAGGTCCCCTTCCAGAGCCTGAGTTATGCGTCTCACCAGGGGCATCGTGAACGTAGCTTCCTCCACGAACCTACTGACCGACTCCAAGAGCCTGCAACTGGTGCTCGAGCCCAGTCTGCAGCTGCTGAGCCGCAAACAGCGGCGGCTGATCCGCCAGAACCCGGGGATCCTGCACAGCGTGAGCGGGGGGCTGCAGAGCGCTGTGCGAGAGTGCAAGTGGCAGTTCCGGAACCGCCGCTGGAACTGCCCCACAGCTTCGGGGCCCCACCTCTTCGGCAAGATCGTCAACCGAGGTGGGTACCCAGGAAGGCGACGCTTCCGGGACAAGGGGAACGCGGGGTCACCTCCAGGGCATGGGCGGGCGAATGCACGGAAGATGTCCCGGGTTCCTGAAGAGTCACAAGATCTGGACAAAACTCGGTCCACCAAGACGCTTTCACCTCGGCCACAAAGCTTAACTTTTCTGAGCCACTGCCTCAGAGAAAAGGGGCTCTGAGTTGTGGGCGCTGGCGGGCCGCGACTTCCCCCCAGGCCTTTCCAAAGGCGCCTGCCTGGGAAGCTGCTGTCCGCAGGCATGCGACTTGCCTCCAGCCCAGCAAGTGTTTCTTAACTGACAAGGGCCGAGTTTGGGCGGCGCTGAGGTCTTGGCGGCGCAGAGCTCTTCCGCTCCCCTCTCTTCAGTTTTTCTTTCTGGGGTCGCCCCACCTCCACTGAGGAGGCAAAATGCGCTCTGAGTCCCAGTAACGCGTGATTACAAGCGTGGACGTGGTGGCGTGCCCACGCACGTGCTTTCTCTGTGAGACCAGCTTCCCAGCACAGCCCCGTTGCCTGGCTCTCAGGACTCCAAGGGCGGAGGCGGGGCGTGGGACTCAAGGGTCCCAAGCCCTCCACTGAGGGTGCTGGCCGCACAGCGCGGGCCTCCTCGCTGATTCCTGATCCCTTCTCCCATAGGCTGTCGGGAAACAGCATTTATCTTCGCCATCACCTCCGCCGGGGTTACCCATTCGGTGGCGCGCTCCTGCTCCGAGGGCTCCATCGAATCGTGCACGTGTGACTATCGGAGGCGCGGCCCTGGGGGTCCCGACTGGCACTGGGGGGGCTGCAGTGACAACATCGACTTTGGCCGCCTCTTTGGCCGAGAGTTTGTGGATTCCGGGGAGAAGGGGCGGGACCTGCGCTTCCTCATGAACCTGCACAACAACGAGGCGGGCCGAACGGTGAGCAGCAGGCTTGAGGAGTGGCAGGGATCTGCGCAGGGGCTAACCTCGGGCTGGGAAAGTAACGGTCGGTGATAAGGCCAGGGCTTAGGTTGGGGAACCAGGAGAGGGCGCACTGAGGGAGCGGGAGACTTGGAAGGAAGCCAGAAAATGGAAGAGGCTCAGGGATGCCTGGGGCTGAGGACAGGTAGAACCAAATATCTTGAAAGTCATGCAACCGATGGAGCTTATTGCCTACAGCCCCTTCACTGCACAGATTCAAAAAGAATTTAAGCTGAGACTTCAAGACAGACTCTCCGGCTTGGTGTCCAAACCTCTGTGGACATTTTCTGCTTCCCTTCCCCTGGGCGCGGCTACGCCTGCCCCTGTGCTGAAGTCCCAGCGGAGCCCGGGAGAGGGCGGTATCTGGAATGGTGGCTCTGGTTCTGGCAGTGCCCTGGGACAGCACTTTTTCTCTCCCTTTCCCCCAGACCGTGTTCTCTGAGATGCGCCAGGAGTGCAAGTGCCACGGCATGTCCGGCTCCTGCACGGTGCGCACGTGCTGGATGCGGCTGCCCACGCTGCGCGCTGTGGGCGACGTGCTGCGCGACCGCTTCGACGGAGCCTCCCGCGTCCTCTACGGCAACCGCGGCAGCAACCGCGCCTCGAGGGCGGAGCTGCTCCGCCTCGAGCCCGAAGACCCCGCGCACAAACCACCTTCACCGCACGACCTTGTGTACTTCGAGAAATCGCCCAACTTCTGTACCTACAGCGGACGCCTGGGTACAGCGGGCACGGCGGGGCGCGCCTGCAACAGCTCGTCGCCCGCGCTGGACGGCTGTGAGCTGCTCTGCTGCGGCCGGGGCCATCGCACACGCACGCAGCGCGTCACCGAGCGCTGCAACTGCACCTTCCACTGGTGCTGCCACGTCAGCTGCCGCAACTGCACGCACACGCGCGTCCTGCACGAGTGTCTGTGAGGCGCTGCGCAGACTCGTCCCCGGGAGCGTTCTCCTCAAGCCTACCCCCCAGGCAGACTCGCTGGCACCTAAGACCCAGATATGCGCCCACCCAGTCCGTCCAGCCACACCCCCGCCATTCATACGTATTCCGTCGTTTCTTCCACCTCCTCCTAACTGGGGACTCCTGAAACCACTTGCCTGGGGCGGCGGGAACCTTCTTGCCATCCTGAAAGGACCTGCCCCGACCTACCTCCCTCCCTCACCGCGGGAGACTCCATTGCACTGCCCCCTGCTTGGCCAGGAGGTGAGAGAAGGATTCGTCCCCTCCCCCATGGAGAGTCAGCTCCAGACGCTGTTGCTCTGACTATGCCATTGCGCCAGGCCAGCGACCTCCCTGCCTCTCTCCCTCCCTCTTTAACTCCGTTTTCTCCAGGTCCCCCACGTGCCCCTGCCAAGGGTGCAGACCCTGAACACACACCTGGGCATCAGAGCCTTTCTCCTCCCCACCTACAGCTGAAGCCGGAGGCGCCTGGGTTGGATGGCAGCTGCAGCTGTGGTGATGTGGAAAATGAGGTTGGGGGACCCAGCAGAAACACCCCCATCCTCCCAGCCTCTGCCGTGGAGCCATTGAACAGCTGCGATCCATGCCTCCCTGGGCCACCTCCTACCCTTTCCTGTCCTGCCTCCTCATCAGTGTGTAAATAATTTGCACTGAAAACGTGGATGTAAAGCCACGAGTTTGGTTGTTGTAAATAAATCTATTTATTGTGCTGGGTTCCAGCCTGGTTTGCAGAGACCACTTCCACCCCAACCCGACCCCTCTCCATTCTTCTCTCTTTTGCCCTACGGCCTTTTCTGATCCCTCTTCTTCTCTCCTCAATTTTTCAAAGATGCCTTTGCCTACCGGAATCAGTATTTCCTTCCACTGTAGCTATTAGTGGCTCCTCGCCCCCACCAATGTAGTATCTTCCTCTGCAGAATAAAAATATCTATTTTTATCAATGACTTGGTGGATTTTCCTTGAATCCAGAACACAACATCATTTACCTCTCTCAAACAAATAGGGTGCATTGTTGGGGGACTGGTTTACTGACCCTGCAAGAGGACCACGAGATTCTGACCCTGGGTTGACTTTAATGAGGCCACTGGGGATCCAGGTCTCCAGAAGAACCTGGTCAGAAACCCAAAGACCCTGCAAGTTTCTTTTTCCTATTCGAACTCCAACTGCATGTGTGATATTGGGCAAGTGCATGGGCATGGCTGCCACAGTTTCTTTCCTTGCTGAATGGGGTGCAGACAAACTCTGAGCCTGCCTTTCCTATCTGGAAGAGTCAATATGAAAATAGCTACAACTGAGTGATAGCTATGACTGCGTTCTGAAAAGAAACCAAAGAGAGAAAAACCGAAGAAAGGATGCCGCCACCCCTGGTAGGAAGCTATTGGTCCCTGGAGCCTATCTGCTTCAGCTGTGATCAGGGCAGTGGGCAGTGGGGACTTAAGCCAACATAACCAAACCAAAAGGAAACCCAAGTGTGGCCTATAACCAAACCATGAAGCTAGACATTTCCATAAAGTGCCCATTAAGGAATCTGTTACTAACAACACCACGGACGCCTCTGTGTGCAAATTCACTAGAGTGGGAGCACTAATCCTGCCCACAGCCCTAAACCTAGCTCCAACTCTAATCCTTTCTCTGACCTTAGGTTTAAGTGTAACCTTAGCCTTAACCCTAACTTCAAACACTAACCCATTCCTAAACTCTAATGCCTATCCCTAATCCTAACACTTCCCCCCAAGGGAGGACCTGAAAGGCGGGGGGAGCTGTGAAGCCCTCCACCCCCCAAGGGCAACAACTGATCCCAGCCGACTGGAGAATTTCCCCCTCTCCCCAGGACTCTTTTGCTGTTGTTGCTGCCCCCCACCTCTCCCTCCATGTGTGAACTCTGACCCTGTTGGCCTTTGGGATGTGTGGGGGTAGAGAAGTGGATCCAGGAGCTACTCAACCCTGCAATGCCATCCTTTTGCCTTTCTCTCTGTCTGCCAAGCTAGCACCAGCTCAGCTCTGAGAGCAGCCAGGGGGAGGAATAGAAGCCTTATTGAGCCAGGGTAGGAGGTACCTGACATGCTTTGGATTTTCGGGAAGAAAAAAAAAAAGAAAAACAAAACTGCAGAGAATACCCAGTCTATCTTCGATGGCCTATTAGATTCCCCCAGCTCCTAAAACAAGAAGTTAATGGGCTGCTATAGGCAGGAGAGGTGTCTTACGCCCTCGCTGGATGATGTCCAGATTTAGGGAGAAGCAGCAAAGTGAGGAGTAGAAGGGTTGGCAGCTGGCCCCAAACATTCTCACCTAGCTCCCAACTCCCAGAGCGAGATCAGTATATCTGCTTTAGGCCCAGAAGCTGGGAGGCCCTGGGCTGAGCTGACACATAGGAGCTAGAAGAGCAGGAGAAAGCAATGAATCCTGATCTGGCTCGAACTAGCTTTTCAATGAATCTCTTGCTTTCTCAGCCTCAGTTGCCTTGTTTATTAAACAGGGGCGGCTATGGGTACTTAGTCTTCTTCAGGAAGATGATGAGGTTCAGAGGAGATCATGTGTGTGAAAACTCAGGTCATTTGAATACTTGCTGGTACTTCTTCTGTGCCAGGCATATGCCCAATGCTGGCAATACAGTGAGGTACCAGCCATAGTGCCTGCTTGAAGGAATTTACAGTCTTGCTGGGGTATAAAGCAGAACAACACATATTGTCTGTATGCTGGGTGGAGTACAACGAAGGCTCAGGGAAATGCAACACCCAGTGCACACACGTGAGGTTTAAAGACAGATTCCCACACTCAAGTCCTCAGCAGGGGGTCTTCACTTCCTGGGGCTGGGACTTAGAAGAGGAGGCAGGGGCATGTGCTAGTAAAAGGGTAAAGGAAGCCAAGGGGCTGTAGGAACTGCAAAGCGCTACAGAGGACATAATTATTTTGTGATTATGATCATCTGTGCCATCCTCACGCAGACCTTGAGCAGGTAAACCCTGGGGAGAAAAGCAGCCGTGCCTGGAGTGAGGCCTCACTAGGGTCCCAGGGCAGCTCAGGGGGGCTGTCATCGTTGGTCCTATCAGGAATGGCCCTGAGGCCTTCCCTGCCCTCTCCACTCAGGCTATCCTTCCACCCACCTTTGATCTTCAGGTGCCAGATGCCACACACCCAGGGCGATCTAAGGCTGCCAGGGACCCCGGCACATGGTTGACCTCACAGTGAGGGAAGTGCTGGTCTTGAAATATCCAAGGGGAGGGGGAGCGGAAAACCTGAGAGGACAGAGACGGCAGGCCTGCACCGTCCCCAGGGGGTCAGCAAGCCGGCACCACACACACCCTGCCACACGCACCCTGGAAAAACCCTGTCAGTGGGGCTGCAAATACCCCAGGGTCTAGCACCCCCCCCCCCCACCTCAGGCTGGTTCAGTCCTCCTTTTCAGGCCAAAGGGAGAAAAATAACAAAATGAGGAGAAAATAAGCTGTTTGGCTGTGGTGTGAGCAGGAATATCCATGCAGAGCTGCCCACCACTCACCCTTACTCACTCTTTCCACACCCAGCCAGGGCGCCCAGCATGAGACAGACCACCCCTCTGCCCCCTCCCCCGTCTGGGCTAAAAGCAGACGCTGGTGAGCGAGCAGCAGGTTATAAATATGCCTGGGGAACTGCCGCCAACTCGCTCCCTTGTCATCCCCTGGGAGGGGATAGGGTGGGGTGGCTCCTAGGGAGGAGCCAGGGCTGCCCTGCTCCCTGGGGCCCAGGAGGAAGTGGGGCTTCCAAGAGGCTACAGCTTTTTTTTTTTCTTTTCCTTTTGTCCTTTTAAAAGGGAAGGAACCACTGCCACTTCATTTTTTCTGGACATTTGCTCATCTGCTTAAAGGTGGGGAACCTGTCCTTCCTGGGCGATGGCTGGGAGCCCAGCGTGGAAGGGCCCAAGGCCACTCACTTTGAATCATGGTGCAACCCAGCACCATTTCTCTCCCTCACACTCATTTACTCTCAGCAAAACCAAAGTTCATTCATTCATTCAACCATTTATCCAGTATTTACTGAGGACCTGCTGAAGGCCAGGCCCTGTGCATAAGCATACAGACAAGCACACATATATGTGCCTGCACACACAGCAGCCTCCACTCCCATGTGTTCATACCAGCTCCAGCCCCCAGTATGGACTCCTTGGCTTTAACCTGGTGGCCTTATCAGGAAGGGTGAAACGTCTGGCTCCTGGCTCTGCCTCAGGGTGAGGGGTGGGGATGGGGAGCGTTGAGAGCAGGGGCCCTCAACATTCCTGCTTCCCCTATTGCCCTGATAAATGAGAGAGGATCCTTTCTCTCCTCCCTGCCCAATCTTCTTCCTAATGTAAGCACCATTCTAGGAAGAGCGAGCCACTCTGTGGGATGCTGGGGAGCACCTGCCCAGGTTGCCAGAGCCTCCTGCCTCCCAGCCACTGGCCAAGGAGGTGCCAAGCTGCGCAAGAGGGGGCAGTGCCACCCTGGGAAGCTTCCAGCTCTCCTCCCCCAGGGCTGAAACCCTCCCTCTCCCTCTTCCCTATTAATCCTCGGAAGTGAGGCCCCTATTGTGGCCCCTCGCCCTCCTCGGCCGGCGTCTAATTAACTCCTCCTGCCCCTGGTTTTGTGTGCCCCCCTTACCCCACCTTGTCGGCCCCGCCCCTCCGCTCCGCCTGCTCCCCCCCACGGACATTCCAGCCCGGCCGGGCTGCTGTGCCAGGGCAACCAGGGCCGGACCAAGACCTAATCCCCCTGCCGCCTGGCCGGGCTGGGGGAGCCCCACTCACCTCCCGGCTCTCTGGGGGCTGCCCGGCTCTGCTGTGGCGGAGACACACAATCAAGACAAAGGCGCAGCCCCCAGGGGGCTAACTCAGCCTTCACGCCCAGGTTGTGCGGCATTTGGGGAGTTTAATGAATTGTCCATCATGCCTTTCAGGGCCCGCCCGTCAGCCTGGATTAATCTTTGGAGCCCTGGTGGGGTAGGA